CTCGAATCCCCGCACTGCTTCAATAGACATGTTTATGGTGAATTGTTGGTCTAAATTTCATGAAAATTTTAGACCTTCTGGCTGTGCTGTGATGACTCAAAATGACAAAAACACAAATGTCTTATCCCACGATGTTTAATGTGTGTTATCCCACGGTGTTTAATGTGTGTTATCCCACGGTGTTTAATGTGTGTTATCCCACGGTGTTTAATGTGTGTTATCCCACGATGTTTAATGTGTGTTATCCCACGATGTTTAATGTGTGTTATCCCACGATGTTTAATGTGTGTTCGTATCACACTTGATCTGTTTGTTCGCTATTTGTGTTGTCACAGTAGTTGAAAGATGTTATTGTTCGGCAGTTCCGCCTAGAAATGTTAGCTGAAATTGATTGAATTTAACGTTCTAAAGCACCAGTGAAGTAAGTTGAATAGACGTGAAGTTTCCTTATGGGGACAAAAGTTAGTTTTCTAGCACGTGAAACGTGGAAACAAATCTTATCACTAGATAGTGATAAAATTGTGATGAAACACTAGATTTAATGCCTGTTAAATCTCATCGTCTGATGTTGACCAGACCACACACTAGAAGGTGAAGGAACGACGACGTTTCGGTCCGTCCTGGACCATTCTCAAGTCGATTGTTATTCTCAAGTCAACTTACTTTAGCCACGTTATTATGACTCATCGCCTGCATATGGATATCTCATCGTGTGAGTCTGGGTTAATTTTTCCGCCAGTTTCACCATACTAACAATAATAACAAGCGTCACCATAACATTTGTAAGAATTTGTCACATTCTGGCGCACATTGGCTGGGAAAATTTTGCACAAGGACGGACGTATTATGAGGCTTGACAACCCCCGCAGGTCACTTTAGACCAGCGGTGCCACCCTCGCTGACAACTTAGGGTGGCACCCCCTAGACCAGCGGTGCCACCCTCGCTGACAACTTAGGGTGGCACCCCCTAGACCAGCGGTGCCACCCTCGCTGACAACTTAGGGTGGCACCCCCTAGACCAGCGGTGCCACCCTCGCTGACAACTTAGGGTGGCACCCCCTAGACCAGCGGTGCCACCCTCGCTGACAACTTAGGGTGGCACCCCCTAGACCAGCGGTGCCACCCTCGCTGACAACTTAGGGTGGCACCCCCTAGACCAGCGGTGCCACCCTCGCTGACAACTTAGGGTGGTAGTACCTGCTGCCTTCAGTTCGTATTTTGAATATAACATTAGTCAATAAAGGTTGAGATGTTATAGGACTTTTCCGATAGATATTCATGGATTTGTAACCAGCCGCTGATCGTTAATCATGGCGTTAATGCTATTTTTATAAGACTTTTATGGTGTGAGGGGAAAGGGGGGAGGGAGCTAATGCAGAGTATTAGACTAGGTATAGGTTAGGCTAAGTATAGGTTATGCTAGGTATAGGTTAGGCTTGGCTAGGTATAGGTTAGGCTAGGCTAGGTATAAGTTAGGTTAGGCTATGTATAGGTTAGGCTACATATAGGCTAGGCTATGTATAGGCTGGGCTAGGTATAGGTTAGGCTAGGCTAGGCAGATGAAAACCACGATTAGTATAGAGAAAGTAGAGAATGGAGAAATTTTACCCCAAAAGTGACGTCACTGGCCATATCTATAATTTCATATCTCATCGGATAGATTGGTAGGATAGGCCTAGTTTCGTATACTAAAGGGGAGGTCAGATCATCAGAGCGAGCAGACTAAGGAACCATTACCGGTCATAAAGTGACCTTCCCGGTATAGTCAGGTCTGTGAGAATGGTGACAGGTGTTTGATATATTAACCGGGAGTAATGACCCGGTGTAGTCACGTATAAAGGTTCTTGGGTATTTATAACAGCTTGTTAACCAGACCACACACTAGAAGGTGAAGGGACGACGACGTTTCGGTCCGTCCTGGACCATTCTCAAGTCATTCTCACAATCGACTTGAGTATGCCCAGGACGGACCGAAACGTCGTCGTCCCTTCACCTTCTAGTGTGTGGTCTGGTCAACATACTTCAGCCACGTTATTGTGACTCATCGCCTGCTTATAACAACTTGTTTCCACCCTCAGGAGGAGTGTTGTAGCAGATGAACGGGCGCCAGGCACAAGGTAAGTACCTGTACTAGTATGCCAGTTATTGCCCCTTGTACCGGTATGCCAGTTATTGTCCCTTGTACCAGTATGCTAGTTATTGTCCCCTTGTACCGGTATGCTAGTTATTGTCCCTTGTACCAGTATGCTAGTTATTGTCCCCTTGTACCGGTATGCTAGTTATTGTCCCTTGTACCAGTATGCTAGTTATTGTCCCTTGTACCAGTATGCTAGTTATTGTCCCTTGTACCAGTATGCCAGTTATTGTCCCTTGTACCGGTATGCTAGTTATTGTCCCTTGTACCGGTATGCCAGTTATTGTCCCCTTGTACCGGTATGCCAGTTATTGTCCCTTGTACCAGTATGCTAGTTATTGTCCCTTGTACCGGTATGCTAGTTATTGCCCCTTGTACCAGTATGCTAGTTATTGTCCCTTGTACCAGTATGCCAGTTATTGCCCCTTGTACCAGTATGCTAGTTATTGTCCCTTGTACCAGTATGCCAGTTATTGCCCCTTGTACCAGTATGCTAGTTATTGTCCCTTGTACCAGTATGCCAGTTATTGCCCCTTGTACCAGTATGCTAGTTATTGTCCCTTGTACCAGTATGCCAGTTATTGTCCCTTGTACCAGTATGCCAGTTATTGCCCCTTGTACCAGTATGCTAGTTATTGTCCCTTGTACCGGTATGCCAGTTATTGTCCCTTGTACCGGTATGCTAGTTATTGTCCCCTTGTACCGGTATGCCAGTTATTGTCCCTTGTACCAGTATGCCAGTTATTGTCCCTTGTACCGGTATGCCAGTTATTGTCCCTTGTACCAGTATGCTAGTTATTGTCCCCTTGTACCGGTATGCTAGTTATTGTCCCTTGTACCAGTATGCTAGTTATTGTCCCTTGTACCAGTATGCTAGTTATTGTCCCTTGTACCAGTATGCCAGTTATTGTCCCTTGTACCGGTATGCTAGTTATTGTCCCTTGTACCGGTATGCCAGTTATTGTCCCTTGTACCAGTATGCTAGTTATTGTCCCTTGTACCGGTATGCCAGTTATTGTCCCTTGTACCAGTATGCTAGTTATTGTCCCTTGTACCAGTATGCCAGTTATTGTCCCTTGTACCGGTATGCTAGTTATTGTCCCTTGTACCAGTATGCTAGTTATTGTCCCTTGTACCAGTATGCCAGTTATTGTCCCTTGTACCGGTATGCTAGTTATTGTCCCTTGTACCGGTATGCCAGTTATTGTCCCTTGTACCGGTATGCTAGTTATTGTCCCCTTGTACCGGTATGCCAGTTATTGTCCCTTGTACCAGTATGCCAGTTATTGTCCCTTGTACCGGTATGCCAGTTATTGTCCCTTGTACCAGTATGCCAGTTATTGTCCCTTGTACCGGTATGCTAGTTATTGTCCCTTGTACCAGTATGCCAGTTATTGTCCCTTGTACCGGTATGCCAGTTATTGTCCCTTGTACCAGTATGCCAGTTATTGTCCCTTGTACCGGTATGCTAGTTATTGTCCCCTTGTACCGGTATGCTAGTTATTGTCCCTTGTACCGGTATGCCAGTTATTGTCCCTTGTACCGGTATGCTAGTTATTGTCCCTTGTACCGGTATGCCAGTTATTGTCCCTTGTACCAGTATGCCAGTTATTGCCCCTTGTACCAGTATGCTAGTTATTGTCCCTTGTACCAGTATCCTAGTTATTGTCCCTTGTACCGGTATGCCAGTTATTGTCCCTTGTACCAGTATGCCAGTTATTGTCCCCTTGTACCGGTATGCCAGTTATTGTCCCTTGTACCAGTATGCCAGTTATTGTCCCTTGTACCAGTATGCTAGTTATTGTCCCTTGTACCGGTATGCTAGTTATTGTCCCTTGTACCAGTATGCCAGTTATTGTCCCTTGTACCAGTATGCTAGTTATTGTCCCTTGTACCGGTATGCCAGTTATTGTCCCTTGTACCAGTATGCCAGTTATTGTCCCTTGTACCAGTATGCCAGTTATTGTCCCTTGTACCAGTATGCTAGTTATTGTCCCTTGTACATTGTCCCACGCGTTGAGTGGCTGGAGAGATGATATCTTATCTTGAGATGATTTCGGGGCTTTTTAGTGTCCCCGCGGCCCGGTCCTCGACCAGGCCTCCACCCGTCAGGAAGCAGCCCGTGACAGCTGACTAACACCCAGGTACCTATTTTACTGCTAGGTAACAGGGGCATAGGGTGAAAGAAACTCTGCCCATTGTTTCTCGCCGGCGCCCGGGATCGAACCCGGGACCACAGGATCACAAGTCCAGCGTGCTGTCCGCTTGGCCGACCGACACCATCACAAATCCCCCATTCCCCTTCCTATAACCTTTCCACCACCTCTCCTCCTCTCCACCACCTCTCCTCCTCTCCACCACCTCTCCTCCTCTCCACCACCTCTCCTCCTCTCCACCACCTCTTCTCCATTCACACCTCCACATTTCTTGCAGAAATTTTTCGTGCGCTGACATTATTTTTTCCTGCCGAGTGCACCAGAGTTGAGATCGTGGGAAAACGTTTAATAAACAGCCTGGCGTCGTGGGTTAGTTCCCATCGTCGATATTTACAACCACCCTTTGGGGGGATCAAGGTGGAATGACCCGAAATTTTCACGCATTTCTCCAGGCGAATATTAAATATGAGGCTGGTGGAGGGGAACTTTTAGCTGAGCAAATGGGAACCGTGACCTCACCTCTAGGGTTCCCGGGTTGTGGGTGTGTGGCCTGTGGCCGGAGGAAGTCCGTTATAGCTGGACCAAGTGGTCGTTGGCCCCGGTGGTCGTTGGTCCCGGTGGTCGCTTTTTGTCCCAGCTTAAGTCCCGTTGAAGTTGGAGGTGAGAATATACTTGATTTGTTATGAATATAGCATGTCTTGGTTTGATTACTAGTGGAAGTGTCCAAGGTGGAGAGCCTGGGCCAGTTCACTCTCCACCTGGGCCAGTTCACTCTCCACCTGGGCCAGTTCACTCTCCACCTGGGCCAGTTCACTCTCCACCTGGGCCAGTTCACTCTCCACCTGGGCCAGTTCACTCTCCACCTGGGCCAGTTCACTCTCCACCTGGGCTCTTCTGTTCCAGCAAGATGTCTTACGTTTGCTAGCAGGATATTACATAGCCACGGGCCTCTAATGTTTATACAGTGTTCTCTGACTTCGGATGGCACCTCTAGTGGCTTTTTTTCCCCATTTCACCCCAGCGTGTTATTTTACTGCACAAATTTGGACGTGGCCTTCTATGTACATGTTGTGCAACCCATTTTCCTGTTTAGGTAGTACTTTTTGTAAATATGTGCACCATAGTACAAACATTGACGTACTAAGCAATAAGATAGTAGAATTTGCTACTATTCACTTTATAGTCCCCAAAAATGAAGCTAAAAAGCAAACTTAACTATTCCTAGGCCTAGTATAACACACACGTGTGTAATATTAGGCCTCATATAGCGTGTATTAGGCCTAGGAAGGTTAGGTTAGTTTTGCTTGTCTTTGCAACATAAGTAGAAAATCTTTACCAGTTTGTCCAAATCAAATAATACCGATTTCTACTCTCTAATTACGTTGTACGTCGGCATATATACTATGGTGGTCATCGTTACTATAAGTACTACCAAACCAGGAGGATGGGCGCTGTATTGAGTGATACAGTAACTCTCTAATCTCCTTTCTATAGCGAGTACATTTTGAGAGCTTTGAGACGGTCCCAATAGTTCAGGTGCTTCAGGGTCTCTGCGTGCCGTGTGTGTTCTCTGTATTCTCTATTACAACAAACTCTCCTCCTGTGTGTAAGAGGAAGTAAGTAGGGAGCAGGACTCGAGGCGGGACAGTGTTACCAATACTTGTATGACTGTAATAATTTTGTGTATTGTGGGGCGTGAAGTCAGCAGAGTTCTGACAGGCCGAAGGTCGCCGTTATCCCTCCGCCCAGCCAAGTAGTACCTAGCTATATTTAGTGATTATTTCTAACATGTAGGGTATGTAAAAAAATTTAATGAAAATGGGAATCCTTTCGGTTTTTACAAAAATAGTAGTATTAAAGTAAATATTCAGTTTTCTGAACTTGTTAAACAGCTGTAACCTGGGGCCATATTCACGAAGCAGTTACGCAAGTACTTACGAACGTGTACATCTTTCCTCAATCTTTGACGGCTTTGGTTACATTTATTAAACAGTTTACAAGCATGAAAACTTTGTAATCAACTGTTGTTATTGTTATAAACAGCCTCCTGGTGCTTCGGAGCTCATTACCTGTTTAATAATTGTAAACAAAGCCGCCAGAGATTGAGAAAAGATGTACAGGTACCGTAAGTGCTTGCGTAACTGCTTCGTGAATCTAGCTCTGTCCTCAGGGTAGAGGTACCCTAGAGGTAATCACTTCTAAACCACTGCGTAAGTAGTGCTCCTATAGGCTCTCTCTCCATGGCTAGGTTGGGTTAAGGTTAGTTTAGATTAAATTAGGTTACATTAGGTTAGGTTTCGTTAGATTGCAATTGATATGGTGTACTATGCTCAAGCATGAAATATGAAATTTAAAAATGATTTGTCCCCCTAGAATATAATTTACAAAACCTAATTCTTCCCACCGTTTCAAAGAAAACGAGTTAAGCAGAGACTTTATTGTAGTACAATTCGTTGGTTTAAAAGGTAACGTTATACCTAGAGAATATTACCAATACTTGTATGACAAAGGACAAAGGTTGACTTGCGAGTTTACAAGTAGACTATTATTGGAATCGTAATATGCTTTTAAACCATAAACGCAAATATACTCTTAAATCTCTAGATAAATATCCAGGTCGCAATGAAATCACAATGGCGTTTCGGTCCGTCCTGGACCGTTCTCAAGTCGATTCCGTCCTGGACCATTCTCAAGGGTCGACTTGAGAATGGTTCAGGATGGACCGAAACGTCGTCGTCCCTTCACCTTCTAGTGTGTTGTCTGGTCAATATACTTTAGCCACGTTATTGTGACTCATCGCCTGCAAATCACAATGGCGTGATATATCAATACAAATCATTTTGAAGTAATGAAAGGACTTGAACTCGCGACCTGGTGATTCCCAGACGCCTGCCTTAACCACTCTGCCACGGTGGTACAAAAATGGTGTCCCGTTTTGGGGTCTCCAGAACCTCCCAGAGGACTCGGTAGACTTCTGGGTTGGTCAGCTGTTGTACCACCGTGGCCAAGTGGTTAAGGCAGTCGTCTGGGAATCACCAGGTTGTGAGTTCAAGTCTCTTCATTGCCTCAAAACGGATTTTTAAATATCCAGGTGGTTAACAAGGGCTGGTGGCCGGTCGTTAGTGCCACTTTACCCTGACAAGGGGCCTCGAACGGCTGAGATTCTGGAGTGAGCGACAGCGGTGTGGTCGACAGGGACTAAACAAAAATGGTTGGTGCGGGAGGACGTGTGGATGGCAGTACAGATGCCTTGGGGAGGGAGAGTTCAACCCGTTCTCGCAAATTCGTAAAGTCAATATTGACTTATTAAATAAGTGCATAGGTGACATACTAAACATAATAGATACCCTTAAAAAGCTTCATAGAAAACACCGACCTTACCTAACCTTGTTAGTATCTTAAGATAAGCATCTTATAGCTTCGTAATTACAATTGTTACTTAACCTATTATAGGTATAGGTTAAGTAATAATTGTAATTACGAAGCAATAAGATGCTTATCTTAACACTTTCCTGGATTTTCGATACTAACAAGATTAGGTAAGGTCGGTGTTTTCTATGAAGCTTTTTAAGGGTATCTATTATGTTTAGTATATCACCTATGCACGTAGTTAATAAGTCAATATTGACTATACGAATTTGCGAGAACGGGTTGGAGAGTTACCGCTCCAGATACGTCATCCAATCACTATTTCTATACATATTAAATGTAAGATAACGTATAGTCGCCTGGAGTAACAATTATAAAGAGATTCCATATTTCATACCATATTATTAACTGTGTGCATATTGTCTCTGAGGATAACCATTTATCTTGTGTGTCTGATACCATGTGTCTATATATACTTATCTTTAAGAGAAGTGATATCATGATCTGAAGATGACTTCATATTTTGAATAAACATTTGATTTGATTTGATGTTACCAATATTTTCTATTGCCCAATCGAAGACTTTATTGATATCAGCTTTTTTATAGTTTTTCTGTATCTTCTACACAAGTAATTGTCATGCTGATTTTTGTATCGTCCACAAAGAACGACACGAAGCTGTGATTTCTATTTTTGTCAGTCTGATCTGAGAATGAAAATATCAATAGTGCAAGTACTGTGCCCTGAGGTACAGAGCTTTCCACTCTGCTTGGACTTGCTTTTGTTTGACTTTTACCCTTTTCATTTATGTTTGGCACGATGCTGAATTTCCATCACCCTACTTCACCTCTTATTCCTATTGACCTCATTTTATTGACCATATCTTGAGTTATCTTGAGATGATTTCGGGGCTTTAGTGTCCCCCGCGGCCCGGTCCTCGACCAGGCCTCTCCACCCCCAGGAAGCAGCCCGTGACAGCTGACTAACACCCAGGTACCTATTTTACTGCTAGGTAACAGGGGCATAGGGTGAAAGAAACTCTGCCCATTGTTTCTCGCCGGCGCCTGGGATCGAACCCAGGACCACAGGAGTGACCATGGTCACATTTATCAAATACTTTTGCAAAGTTCGTGTGTACAACATCTGCATTTTGTTTTTCTTATAATGCTTCTATGATTTTCAGTAGTTGAATAATTGTGAATAGCAGGATCTTCCCGCTCTAAATCCATGCTGACCTGTGTCGTGAAGTTAATTGTCGTGAAGTTAATGTAATTGTTCTCTATAAAACTGGAGGTTTGATCCATAATCACTTTCAAGAACTTTAATTCTGTATGATGCTGGGGCGTCCAGTATAGTTTATCTTGCCCCAAGCTTTACTACCTCCCGTGTGTCGTGGAATTATCTCCTGATTTAACTGCATCTGGTACCATGTCCGTTTCAAAGTTGTTCTCTCCATGTTATACTAAGTACTCGTGCTACTGGCACTTGACATTTCTCTATGAATATTGAATTCAGCAGTCTGGACCCCGGGGCCGAGTGCATGTTGTCAAGTTCTCTCTTTCAAACATGTGTATACAACATTGATAATTTTGTAACTAGCGTCAAACATTGTTATTTGCTTAGCTAAACGAACTAGAGGGTTCAGTTCCTGAACCGATTATGTGCCTCTGTAATCCTTTACACTAGTGCCCACGGGATGGGTATGGGGTGCATAATAAAGAAATTGAATTCAAAGTCTTCCGTGTTCGTGTTGATGTTAGTTATGTTGTCAGTTTTACATTTATAAAGAAACTCCGGATCTTAAGTTTTCATGATTATTGGCAAGCTAAACACAGCCTTTTAGGACTTCGCTAATTTCTTTGTCGTCTTCTGTGTGTGATTTTTTTTAAGTATAGGTCTAATACTGGTGAATAATTTGTATTTTGTATGTAAAAAATATTAAAAAAAATTAGTTTTTCTTCTCTAAATAGTTTCTTTTCCAATTAAATTTCTTGTCTGGCCTGATTGCTTCTGCTTGCCGAGTGTATCTACACATTCTTTAACTAAATTTTTAACAATATTGACAGGACTATACATGTGACTTCAGATTTATTTAGATACAATAGTCCTTGTGTATTACGCATAAGGCCAGAGATATTCCAAGTTATTATGGCCCCCCCCCTTGTATAGTTCTGTATACCTCTAGGTGGTCAGGGCTGGTGGCCAGGGCTGGTGGCCAGGGCTGGTGGCCAGGGCTGGTGGCCAGGGCTGGTGGCCAGGGCTGGTGGCCAGGGCTGGTGGCCAGGGCTGGTGGCCAGGACTGGTGGCCAGGGCTGGTGGCCAGGGCTGGTGACCAGGGCTGGTGGCCAGGGCTGGTGGCCAGGGCTGGTGGCCAGGGCTGGTGGCCAGGGCTGGTGGCCAGGACTGGTGGCCAGGGCTGGTGGTCAGGGCTGGTGGCCAGGACTGGTGGCCAGGACTGGTGGCCAGGACTGGTGGCCAGGACTGGTGGCCAGGGCTGGTGGCCAGGGCTGGTGACCAGGGCTGGTGGCCAGGACTGGTGGCCAGGGCTGGTGGTCAGGGCTGGTGGCCAGGACTGGTGGCCAGGGCTGGTGGTCAGGGCTGGTGGCCAGGGCTAGTGGCCAGGGAGGATGGCCAGGGCTGGTGGCCAGGGCTGGTGGCCAGGGCTAGTGGCCAGGGCTGGTGGCCAGGGCCGGTGGCCAGGACTGGTGGCCAGGGCTGGTGGCCAGGGAGGATGGCCAGGGCCGGTGGCCAGGACTGGAGGCCAGGGCTGGAGGCCAGGGAGGGTGACCAGGGCTAGTGGCCAGGGGATGTAGATGTACTGAAAGGTTAGACTGGCAAGTCGGTCAGTGGTTGACAGGTAGGTATAATGGAGTATGTTAATGTCTGTTATTATATTTATTTTGCTGTGTCTGATTAAGAGGTTTCTCTTGTTTGGTTTGAGTAGTGGCCGCCTGTTAATGTACGCTACGACCGTTAACAGTCTGTTGGTCCATTTTGTTGACCGTTGACGACCGTTGACGCTCATGCAGATGTCTCTGGCGTGTGAGATGCGTTTGTTTGTTTGGCCAAGCAAACTGAACTTTGAATAAACACGACCAACGATCAAAATATTTATTCAACTTAGGATCCCAGATATATTATACACCAGGGACTAGTTTATAATTTTCTGTCTATTGCTTTTTCTTTCATCATTGTACATTGTTATTGTGTTCAGTAGAAGCTGTTGTCTCTGTGAGCGCGGCCTCGGGGTGCAGGAAGTGACGTAGGAGGCCAGCTCATCCACTGTGTCTCTGTGAGCGCGGCCTCGGGGTGCAGGAAGTGACGTAGGAGGCCAGCTCATCCACTGTGTCTCTGTGAGCGCGGCCTCGGGGTGCAGGAAGTGACGTAGGAGGCCAGCTCATCCACTGTGTCTGTGAGCGCGGCCTCGGGGTGCAGGAAGTGACGTAGGAGGCCAGCTCATCCACTGTGTCTCTGTGAGCGCGGCCTCGGGGTGCAGGAAGTGACGTAGGAGGCCAGCTCATCCACTGTGTCTCTGTGAGCGCGGCCTCGGGGTGCAGGAAGTGACGTAGGAGGCCAGCTCATCCACTGTGTCTCTGTGAGCGCGGCCTCGGGGTGCAGGAAGTGACGTAGGAGGCCAGCTCATCCACTGTGTCTCTGTGAGCGCGGCCTCGGGGTGCAGGAAGTGACGTAGGAGGCCAGCTCATCCACTGTGTCTCTGTGAGCGCGGCCTCGGGGTGCAGGAAGTGACGTAGGAGGCCAGCTCATCCACTGTGTCTCTGTGAGCGCGGCCTCGGGGTGCAGGAAGTGACGTAGGAGGCCAGCTCATCCACTGTGTCTCTGTGAGCGCGGCCTCGGGGTGCAGGAAGTGACGTAGGAGGCCAGCTCATACACTGTCTCTTATTTTATTATATATATATACAACAGTTCTTACGTTCTTATACAGTCACTAGCACGCATAGCGTTTCGGGCAAGTCCTTAATCTTAAGTTCCCCCGGAGTACGACCCGCCAAGTTGTTTAAGAACCAGCCCTGGCCACCAGCCCTGGCCACCAGCCCTGGCCACCAGCCCTGGCCACTAGCCCTGGCCACCCTCCCTGGCCACCAGCCCTGGCCACTAGCCCTGGCCACCAGCTCTGGCCACCAGCCCTGGCCACCCTCCCTGGCCACCAGCCCTGGCCACCAGCCCTGGCCACCAGCCCTGGCCACTAGCCCTGGCCACCAGCCCTGGCCACTAGCCCTGGCCACCAGCCCTGGCCACTAGCCCTGGCCACCAGCCCTGGCCACCAGCCCTGGCCACCCTCCCTGGCCACCAGCCCTGGCCACCAGCCCTGGCCACCAGCCCTGGCCACTAGCCCTGGCCACCCTCCCTGGCCACCAGCCCTGGCCACCAGCCCTGGCCACCAGCCCTGGCCACCCTCCCTGGCCACCAGCCCTGGCCACCCTCCCTGGCCACCCTCCCTGGCCACCAACCCTGGCCACCAGCCCTGTCCACTAGCCCTGGCCACCAGCCCTGGCCACTAGCCCTGGCCACCAGCCCTGGCCACCAGCCCTGGCGACCAGCCCTGGCCACCCAGGATACCCATTCACTGCTGGGTGAACAGGGGCGTACAATTAAGGACTGTAACCCAGTCAATCCTCCCCCGGCCAGGATACGAACCCAGGCCAAATCGCTTGCGAAACGAGAGGCGAGTGTCTATACCACTGCGCCACGAAGACAGGAAAATCCCAAATCAAGCATCTGGGTGTAATTAAAACACGCCACATCGGTTTCAAAAACATTTAAATAAATACAGTTATCATTGTATACATCTGATTTCGTACAACTTTAATGTGGTGTTTATGTAGTAATTTAGAACTGTGTTTACATGGCGGCGCTTAAGGGTTAATTATTGGTTGTGAGAGTTAGTGTTGGCCGCGTGCTGGCTGGTGGTCGACTGGGCTCCTCCATACTGCACTTAGCTGTGTACTCACCTAGTTGTGTTTGCGGGGGTTGAGCTCTGGCTCTTTGGTCCCGCCTCTCAACTGTCAATCAACAGGTGTACAGATTCCTGAGCCTATTGGGCTCTATCATATCTACAATTGAAACTGTGTATGGAGTCAGCCTCCACCACATCACTTCCTAATGCATTCCATTGAAACTGTGTATGGAGTCAGCCTCCACCACATCACTTCCTAATGCATTCCATAATTCCCTTGAGAATCTTGAATGTGGTGATCATGTCCCCCCTAACTCTTCTCTGTGTGTGTGTGACTACAGGGTCGAGCTTCAGCTCTGGCTCCCTGTCTTGTCAGCCTCCGCTTATCTGGTCACATGGCATTTAACTTGAAATATTATCATATCTCGTTTTTGAAATTGTGAATTCAGATACAGTGAGCTTGTGTGTGTGTTTTTGTGGTGAGTGGGAGAGGGCGTGGACTGTTAGTGTGGGAGTGGGTGGGAGTGGAGTGTGTTGGGGGGGGTGGGGGGAGGATGTAGTGGTAAGGGGATGAGAGGGAATGTTAGGTGATGCTTAGATAAGTAGTGTGTGGGGGGGGGGGGGGGGGGGGGGGAGGGGGGATGCTGATTGGTAGAGTTAATAAAGGTATTTAAATGTGTTAATGTAATGAACTATAAATATGTATCCACCGTCACACAGGTTACACAAGGTGACTACAGGCTATAGTAAAGGACATTTACACAGTGTGAAGAGAGTGGATATAGAAATGTGAGGGCGGGGGTGTTGCGCCCCCTGAGAGCGGGGGGTGTTGCGCCCCCTGAGAGCGGGGGGTGTTGCGCCCCCTGAGAGCGGGGGGTGTTGCGCCCTTAAGGGCGGGGGTGTTGCGCCCCTGAGGGCGGGGGTGTGTGAGAGCGGGGGTGTTGCGCCCCTGAGGGCGGGGGTGTTGCGCCCCTGAGGGCGGGGGTGTTGCGCCCCTGAGGGCGAGGGTGTTGCGCCCCTGAGGGCGGGGGTGTTGCGCCCCTGAGGGCGAGGGTGTTGCGCCCCTGAGGGCGGGGGTGTTGCGCCCCTGAGGGCGGGGGTGTTGCTCCCCTGAGGGCGGGGGTGTTGCTCCCCTGAGGGCGAGGGTGTTGCTCCCCTGAGGGCGAGGGTGTTGCTCCCCTGAGGGCGGGGGTGTTGCTCCCCTGAGGGCGAGGGTGTTGCTCCCCTGAGGGCGCGAGGGTGTGTTGCGCCCCTGAGGGCGGGGGTGTTGCGCCCCTGAGGGCGGGGGTGTTGCGCCCCTGAGGGCGGGGGTGTTGAAGGCGAGGGTGTTGCGCGCCCCTGAGGGCGGGGGTTGTGAGGGCGGGGGTGCGCCCCTGAGGGCGGGGGTGTTGCGAGGGCGGGGGGTGTTGCCCCCTGAGGGCGAGGGCGGGGGTGTTGCGCCCCCTGAGGGCGGGGGGTGTTGCGCCCCCTGAGGGCGGGGGGTGTTGTGTTGCGCCCCTGAGGGCGAGGGTGTGTTGCGCCCCTGAGGGCGGGGGTGTTGCTCCCCTGATGGCGGGGGGTGTTGCGCCCCTGAGGGCGAGGGTGTTGCGCCCCTGAGGGCGAGGGTGTTGCGCCCCTGAGGGCGAGGGTGTTGCTCCCCTGAGGGCGGGGGTGTTGCGCCCCTGAGGGCGAGGGTGTTGCGCCCCTGAGGGCGGGGGTGTTGCGCCCCTGAGGGCGGGGGTGTTGCGCCCCTGAGGGCGGGGGTGTTGCGCCCCTGAGGGCGAGGGTGTTGTGTTGCGCCCTGAGGGCGGGGGTGTTGCGCCCCTGAGGGCGGGGGTGTTGCGCCCCCTGAGGGCGAGGGTGTTGCGCCCCTGAGGGCGGGGGTGTTGCGCCCCTGAGGGCGAGGGTGTTGCGCCCCTGAGGGCGGGGGTGTTGCGCCCCCTGAGGGCGAGGGTGTTGCGCCCCTGAGGGCGGGGGTGTTGCGCCCCTGAGGGCGGGGGTGTTGCGCCCCTGAGGGCGGGGGTGTTGCGCCCCCTGAGGGCGGGGGGGTGTTGCGCCCCCTGAGGGCGGGGGGTGTTGCGCCCCTGAGGGCGGGGGTGTTGCGCCCCTGAGGGCGGGGGTGTTGCGCCCCTGAGGGCGGGGGTGTTGCGCCCCCTGAGGGCGGGGGGTGTTGCGCCCCCTGAGGGCGGGGGTGTTGCGCCCCTGAGGGCGGGGGTGTTGCGCCCCTGAGGGCGGGGGTGTTGCGCCCCTGAGGGCGGGGGTGTTGCGCCCCTGAGGGCGGGGGGTGTTGCGCCCCCTGAGGGCGGGGGTGTTGCGCCCCCTGAGGGCGGGGGGTGTTGCGCCCCTGAAGGCGGGGGTGTTGCGTCCCTGAGGGCGGGGGTGTTGCGCCCCTGAGGGCGGGGGTGTTGCGTCCCTGAGGGCGGGGGTGTTGCGCCCCCTGAGGGCGGGGGGTGTTGCGCCCCATGAGAGCGGGGGGTGTTGCGCCCCATGAGAGCGGGGGGTGTTGCGCCCCTGAGGGCGGGGGTGTTGCGCCCCCTGAGAGCGGGGGGTGTTGCGCCCCCTGAGAGCGGGGGGTGTTGCGCCCCCTGAGAGCGGGGGGTGTTGCGCCCCCTGAGAGCGGGGGGTGTTGCGCCCCCTGAGAGCGGGGGGTGTTGCGCCCCCTGAGAGCGGGGGGTGTTGCGCCCCCTGAGAGCGGGGGGTGTTGCGCCCCCTGAGAGCGGGGGGGGTGTTGCGCCCCCTGAGGGCGGGGGGTGTTGCACCGTGGGAGGCCAGGGAGGGAGGGAGCCAGGGCCGTGCCAGTCAACCAGCCAATGTTGATCTTTGATTAAACAAAATATCGTACTATTGTTTTTCTTAGAGTGAAATGAGAGTATGAAACACACGAAGGACAGTCATGCTTATTATTTTTCGCTCGAGGATGGCTGGTGGCTGACGGGTGGCTGACGGGTGGCTGACGGCGGGAGCGCTTACTCACGCCCTCTCCCTCCTCCGGGGGGCGTATTGGCTCTTACACACTATTCCCCTTTGTTAAATGTTGTTAACGACCCTCTGGCTATTACCACGCCATTGTTCGCGTGTCTCTACCATATCAAACACCTCAATGTCCAACATCTTCATCTCATGCTCACAGTTGCTTTGTTTACGAATAAAATATTTAAACAAAGTGTTGACCTCTCTGGATGGAACTTGACAGTTGGTCTGAAGGTTTGCCAGATAATATATAACTTGTTAAGATTTGGAGGTCCCGAGGCTGGAGGTTAAAGGTCAGTGTTAAAGATGTTTAATTTGAGGACCAAGTTTGGCAAACTTTATGTTCTTTTTTAATATTTTGTTGGTGGGTGGTGTTGATAACTTGGGCACAGCAACAGTGTGTGTGTGTGTGTGTGTGTGTGTGTGTTGCTGTGTGTGTGTGTGTGTGTGTGTTGCTGTGTGGAGGTTATCACTGTGTGTGTACTCATCTATTTGTGTTTGCGGGGGTTGAGCTCTGGCTCTTTGGTCCCGCCTCTCAACTGTCAATCAACTGGTGTACATGTTCCTGAGCCTATTGGGCTCTATCATATCTACACTTGAAACTGTGTATGGAGTCAGCCTCCACCACATCACTGTGTTGGTGGCAGCGACGAGCACAAAGTCTTCCTGCAGCAAGTCGCTCCCACGTACATTTCTCTAATAAATTATTAGAAAAAGTTATAAATTTTGAGTTTATTTCCTCCTGTGAACACATAATTATACATTTCAGTACTCGGAAAAGAGTATTTTAAAAATTGAATTAAATATATTTATTACATTGCTTAAGTTTATGGTAGTTACATATATCTATGAATTAGAATATTTGTCTGTCCAAGGTTGAAGGCCAGAGGCCTGGGGCTAGCTTAGTCCAAATTTGCACTCTGATTCCTGTGGGGTACGTGCCCAGCATAGTCGGATCGGGGAGGGCACAAGTGAACACTGCCGCGTGATTGACGATTTTTTAGAATATCATCATAACTTATCTCGGGATTGATTGATTGTTTTCAGTCTTTGTTAGTAAATGCAAATCATTATGCACACGTGTCTTTAAAATTATAAATCTAGCTATTAAACTTTATATGTAAATGACCTGAAATATGTATTGGTGACGATGATGGGAGCCGGTCGGCCGAGCGGACAGCACGCTGGACTTGTGGTCCTGGGTTCGATCCCAGACGCCGGCGAGAAATATTGGGCAGAGTTTCTTTCACCCTATGCGCCTGTTACCTAGCAGTAAAATAGGTACCTGGGTGTTACCCAGCTGTCACGGGCTGCTTCCTGGGGGTGGAGGCCTGGTCGAGGACCGGGCCGCGGGGACACTAAAGCCCCGAAATCATCTCAAGATAACCTCAAGATATGACATCTCCCCCGCCCCCAACACCAGCTCCCTCGAGGCCTCGCAGCTCATTCCTCTAAATCCCAGGTGTCCTGCGCCAGGGAGAAAGGCAAACATACATAGAAAAAATAGACATACACACACACACAGCGAAACAGGAAGTGTAAATTGTGAGTTTGGCGGCGTGTTGTTATGTCTGGCGCTGACTGTGTCTTGCACACATCTGTAGCGAGCACCGCTCAGCACCACGCTGTAGAAGGAGGCACGCGGCGTGTTGTTATGTCTGGCGCTGACTGTGTCTTGCACACATCTGTAGCGAGCACCGCTCAGCACCACGCTGTAGAAGGAGGCACGCGGCGTGTTGTTATGTCTGGCGCTGACTGTGTCTTGCACACATCTGTAGCGAGCACCGCTCAGCACCACGCTGTAGAAGGAGGCACGCGGCGTGTTGTTATGTCTGGCGCTGACTGTGTCTTGCACACATCTGTAGCGAGCACCGCTCAGCACCACGCTGTAGAAGGAGGCACGCGGCGTGTTGTTATGTCTGGCGCTGACTGTGTCTTGCACACATCTGTAGCGAGCACCGCTCAGCACCACGCTGTAGAAGGAGGCACGCGGC